AAAGCAAATAATTCAAGGAAGCTGCATAGCTCAAGGGAGAAAATGCAGATAACATATAGAAAGGGCTTATCAAGGTTTTGAGTCCCCAACCCAGAATTTTGAGTTTTCTTGGGCTTTAAATTTTTTTTTACTTTTTGGTTTTGTTCTTAGTTATTTATTGTTTATATCAGATTTTCTTCTTCTTTCGGAACTCGAGTCTTAGCTCTTTGTTCCAGTTTATGTTTCCATTAGTATAGTTTAGCTGGACAACATGAATTTTCAAACTCTTATGTAACTAACAAAATTACATTTAAATGTAAAGGTAATAGTGGGGTGGCTGTAGCTCAGGAGGTAGAGCAGGTCACCTACTGACCAGTTCAATCCCTGGTTAGGAAGCACTCAAAGTTTAGAAGAAAGTGAATGTGGCATGTTGTATAGAGCGCTTTGAGTACTTTGAGAGAGTAGAAAAGCGCTATATAAAAATAATGTAAGGTAAAGACCCAACAATAATATAGAGAAAACCAACAATCATAAGAGCACGTGGCAACAGTGGGAAGAAAAAACTTCCTTTTAACAGGAAGAAACCTACGGCAGAACTAGGCTCAGGGAGGGGCGGCCATCTGAGTTCAGGGTGAGGGTGGGAGCCAGAGATAAATAATAACTTATGATTAAATGCAGAGTGGTCTGTAAACACATAGAAAGTGAAAAGAGGTGAGTAAAGACAAAACTCCCAAAATAACTGAAGCAGTTCAGTCAGTAAGCTTTTAGTTTTAGGAAAATATTATGCAGAACTTCCTTTTCACCCATTTGGTAATCCACTGATGAAAACGAAAAGTATGCGTCTTGATATATAATCTGGCCATTTTAACCTTTTCCTAATTCATCATCGCTAAAATCCCCGTATGTATAATATCTTTTTTTAAATATGACTGAAGTCCTTTGCAGTGCTACTGAAAAATAGAAGACAAAGTGAAGCTGCATTCCTTCCTGTGCCAGCAAAGCATTCCAGAGTAGGATTTCAAAAGCTGCTCCAGTAATTAATCACATTAACAGCAACAACAGCAACAACATAACAAGTGTTATAACTCTGACACAAATTCACAAAAAATCTTTCTATTACTTGCTTGTGGCTATAAAAACTCTAAAAATATGTTAATTTTAATTAAAAATCAACATGCTAGAGTAACAGGTTCAAGCTCTTGAGAATTTGCTTTTATGCCTAACGTTATATATATAACCATAACTTATAGACATCATGGCTCTGATGTCTATAAGCATGCAACTCAGAAACATGTATGCATTAGAGTCCAGTGCATATGGCCTGCAATGGCTAGGGGTTCATTCACTGCCAAGAGCCATGATTAATGCACAGACACTGAGAGAGGACCAACATGGGGTCCCAATCTGCAACCTCAAGGGAGGTAACCTAGTTCTGCTGGGGATAGTGAAAGAGGTAATAGAAACTTTATATTTTTCTTTAGACCTCCCTCATAGACCTAAAATCCTGAGACGTTCACATGGCTGTGCAGACACAAATCTGAGTAATCAAATTGATTCTCTGTAAAAATAAGAGAGAACAATCATTATCTATGTATTTTGTGCATGCATATAAAAACATGGGATTGTTTTAACAGATTTCTGGGCTTTGACTGCTTTCTGGAAACAGAGAAGCACAGTTACACGTGTAACCTCGTTTATGGACGCCTAATCTGAAGGCTAGAGAGACTCAAGTTGCAGTTTGGATTAACGTTACTTGCTGTACAAGCCGTCAACGTCATATTTTTTAATTTTTTACAAAATTGACATGAATGCAGCAAAATAAAAATAAAAGACCTGCCGAGCAACTTTACAAAAATCCTTTTTAATCCTGTGAAATTTAACCAGCTAAAAGTCAGATTGGGTTATATTAAGATATATGGAGAAAATACTTTGAAAACATTTACAAAATGTTCAGCATGCAACTCAGCATGATCTCGCTCTCTTCCTGTTCTTGTGACATTAAAAAAATAGAAAATGCGGTTTCCACTGTAAATTGATAGAATAGTGTATAACTATGATTTCCTAGTGATAAGCAAGAGTGAGATAGTTTTACCCTCTCTGTTCACCCACTGTGTGACAGTGGCTCTCAGAGAGTTGAGTCAGTGGACCCAATATAAACTATGTGATGGAGGCCTTTGTGTTTAAATGTATCCATTTACCAGTTGATTTCATTCATTTTCTAGAGGCTGACATGTCCGTTGTTTTACGTGTGTTGAGTGTGATCTTTTTCATAGTACGAGGGCTCTTTCTGGTCTATTCTTGACTTGATGTGACACAGGTTAAAAATATACTTCAGTGATAACCAAACTCAACCTAATAACGACCACATACAGCTTCACCAATCCAAACTATCCATCTGCCAAAGTTGGTGTTCTTGTTCAAAAAACCCATTCACCAATTCAAAAAATAGAAAGCGACTTCTAATTCAGCCTTGCAGCCTGAACTACAGGTGATTCAGTCAAGTAGAACCTGTATTAATGGCACTGTTTCATTATAACTAAAGTTCACGTATGATTGAGTTTGACATCTTGAACTATACTGTATATCCTCTTGCTTAAAACGAAAATAAAGGTAAAGGTAAACTATGCAGAGTTGGAGATGTCTGTCAGTGTCCATTTTTATCTATGGTGTTAAGGTGGATGGTTAAAAAGGCATTATATCTAGAAAGTGGACGCCTTATGACTTGGACATACAAGGCAGGACAGCTATACATCACATATTGAAAGTCTCAGAGGAGGGCCTGACCCAATTAGACTGACCTTATTTAGTTGGCAATGCTGTTGAGTCTGCGCAGTGTGGAAACAATATTTGTGAACCAACGAGATTAGTATGTGTGTGTTTATGAGGTGGGAGTGTTGTCCCACTGCGTCTTCACATCACTGTAGTTAACGAGGCACAAACAGGTCAGAACTGGTTTAACGCTGGCCCCGCTAACGATCATTTTCTCTCTTTGAACTTAATTAGTTGATGAGGAGCAGCTGCGTTGGCCTTGTAAGTTTCAAAGCCTCAAAATTAGGCTGAGTGGTGGTCACAATCCTGACACTTTGGCACACATGTTCATATGCACTGTATTTGTCAGATGCTTTTCTAAAGACGTGCAAACGTATGGGCCTCTTTTATAAACAGAATCACAGATAAAAGCAGGAACACAAGTCTAATACACACTACCATCTTCAGCTATGTAAACACTCTTAATTAATCATTTGCATGTAAAATGCTGCTTGCAACAGTTATTAGACAAGGGAACAGAAACAACAAAGAAAAATCACAATTGCACTGAATGCTCAATTGATACAGGAGTTGCATAATAGGACAAAAGGACATGTTCTGTTTGGTGGACACTTTGGTTCTGGAATTGCAATCAGGGCAAAATCCACTAAACTGAAAAATGTAACTCACACTATCATGTCTTTGGTTTCAGAGCAAAGGGCTGCGGCAAGAGGTAAGGGAAAAAGTAAATGGTTTGACTACAAATGCATCAGCAAGGTACCTCAACAACTAATATCAAGGCACTTCATTACAGAAATGTTACAGTAAACAGTTTACGAATAGTTAATAAGGGGGGTTTAAAGCATTTCTGCACAAGCATCACTTTTCACACTCAGAAGCTACAGCCATCGTTTACCTGCCTGAGTGCATGTATTCAACTTGGCGCACAACAACCTCTACACTCGTATGGTAACAGTGAGGCGTTGCTAACTGAGCTAAATGCAAACATCATCATGCAAGCAAGCTTACAATGACAACTGATTATGTTTTGCAGGTGTATAGCATCACCGCCATGTTGGTTGCGTGTTTTATTGTGCTAAACACAAACTATTTCTGTACGACTAATGGATATGTCATTACTTTTGCAGTACAAAGACAAAGCACAGAAAACATCGACTGCATCCATAATCAAGAGCCTTGGCCTATTTTTTATTCTGTAAATTGTTTACAGGCTCAAAACGAAATTAATTATTCCACCCTTGTCCTTGACTCACTTGTCTACCTGACTTCAGCATCTCTTTGTTCAAATGGCCTAATTACAGCAGCGTGAATAAGATGAATATGAACATAAAGTCTGATACCAGCTTTAAATGAAACACGGAATTTCTCATTTGGAGTTTTTACTCTGCTAAATCTATTTGCATATCTCACCAGCCTAAAAATCAGATTATACACTAGTTTGTTTTGAGTATGTTTTGAGGAATAAATGCTATGATTTCTGTTCAATGATTAGTGTAAGGCTTAACTTCTAAACTTCCGTACACAATGAAGCAATGCTTCACTTACAAATGACTAAATATGCAGAACAGTCTTTTAATCCTAGTCCACCCATTACGATTCCATAAACAGATTACATTTGCTCATAATCAGTGTGATCTGACACTATTTGCCCATAAACAACAACAAAAATGTCTATCCCATACTGTAACTCTTGTTCAACAAGGAGGGAAGATATAACAAATTCCCTGATAGGAGGATCTAACTTCCTAACTGAGTTACTCTGTGTACCAGTGCTGTAGATTTATTCCAGTGAATAATGTAATATAGACAGTGTCACTGTATCTCTGTCAAACCAACCCTAATCTTATGTGTAGATCTGGGTCACTACCCCCAAGTGTTCCCTACTGGTTTCATTAAACATTAACTGTGTCTAAGTATATTTTTATGTCTTTGCCTCTTGAAACCACAGATGAGTTCCACTTGGAGGGGAAATGAGATACAAGTCCGCTGACTTATCTCCTTCCCTCTGCTGTTATAACAGGGTTTTACAGGAGTTCTTGCTCTTTTTGATTGTTTGAGCAGATTTGTTACAGACTGAAAAAAGGACAAGGGATTTTGGGAGCTACAGATAGTGTCGGTCTCGCCATCAAGTCTCATGGTACTGACAATAAATAATAAAACGTTTAGTAAATGTAATAAATGTGGCCTTAATATGACAAAGAGAAGAGAGAGTAAAATGGACAGTCAAAGAATGTAAAGAAGCTAGTTCTCACCGAGGTTACATATTGTATGTTCCGGCACAGTTTTGTCTCCCGGGGAAAGTCGGAAAGATCCAAGAAGTTGTCCACCACCACTTGGCCAATCAAATCATGGCGAGAGAACCTGTCAAAGTCGTAAATACTGAAGTGTAGCTTACGATTCGACAGATCTGCGTACGCCACAGGAAAGAGGAACACTTCATCAAAAACCGGGTTGAGTGTCTTCCGGTGCACCTTGGTCTGGTGCTTGGTTTTGCGGTCGGGCAGCAGGTAGATTTTGACGTAAGGATCAGAGGTCCCTGAGAAGTCCTTGGCAGGAAGGTCCTGGGCCTTGTGGATCTTCACGATCAGCTGCTCCAGGTCAAAGTCAAACTTAAGGATAAAGTGAAGGCGCCCACAGTTAGAGGTTCTATGGCCATCTTCTGCATCTATTGAGCGCTGCTTGTAAAGTTCTGGTTTGATCCGACCCAAACCAGACAAAGACTCCTGGCGCTGGAACTGAGCAGGGTTGAAGTCGGGATTGGATAAGTTCATTTGACGACGGAAGGAGTTGTGCCTGTAACAAAGTGGTGTAATTGGAAGGTATATAAGGCAATTCAAATTATTCAGCAAATATATTCTTAAATCTTTGCATCTACTGTGTTCTCTAGCAGCTGAGGCCTGTACTACAAAGTAGGATTTTGGGTTTAACAGGCTAACTTAAGTTCTAACCCTGCGTTTTCAGTGTTACAAGATTGGTACAAATTTTCCTTGATAACTTATACTGCACATGTAAAATGTTCTGGAGGGAGTTATTTTTGAGAAATGAGAGCAAAATATAAAAAACTAAATATTGTCACCGTTCCTTAAAGATTCCAAAGATATAGTTTCACTGACAGTAATAGGTCCTGTAGTTCTGACAAACTATATACAGTCTGTTGTTCCCAGATACGCATCAATAAATATTAAAAACACCTTTATTTCTATGCTAAGGATGTCGTAGTGTAATCACAGCTGATGTGAAGCTTCACCTGGCATTAGTTGAATGAATGATGTCACGTTGGAAGTTAACATTTGGTATGAAAGAACCAACAGGGTAAGTGAAAAAGTTAAGAAAGTTAAGAAAAAGGTATCCTGGATATCCCGAACTTGCTTTGTAGCACACATCCCTGATGTATACTGTCACTTTCCTAATTAAGAATCTCTGAACTCTGTCTGTCATCTGTATTTAACCTGTCAGCAACACTAAATACTGGACAACAGTTTTAAGAACTACTTACCGTACAGAAGAGGTAGGTTCAGTAATCTGTCTCTGAACCCTGTCCCTGGCCAGAGTGTGAGCATGGTTTTTCTCCACCTTAGTTTGCGTCTCCAGTGGGATGTCAGGTGATGTGTGGCTTATCTTCAAGGCCGACTCCGGGACAGGCACACCCGAAGGGGGCCCCGAAGGCTCCTTCACACAGCCATCTTCACTGTATTCCCTTTCCTCCCCGTCCACCTGCACAGCACACATCAGTGTCTGCATTACTGCATGCTATTAAAAAAATATAATGTGGGAATGCTTAGTTGGACTGTTAAATTAATTTCTTGGCTGTATTTTTAAACAGAAGTGCCTTAAACCTGAAATGCTTCCAGCTCTTTAAATACTTGAGTCATTATCCTTTTTCTTATTTTAAGATAAAAAAAATTTTTAAAAGACATGTACTTTTTTGAAACATGATATGTTTCTGTTGTAGACTTATTCCTGTAGCGCGACTGCCACTAATCACGGTTAAAATGTTATAATATGAAGCTCTAAAGACTGCCCTTCTTGGAAAATAAGTAAAAAAATAAGTGCATGGCAACAGTCAAATAAAGAGATTGATATCTGCAAGGTTGTTAGCTTAGCATTAGAACTAGATGAAATAAAAAATAGTTCAAGGACAGTCCAATAAGTCTTTCCTAAGTTTCTGGGATCTTATCATCGCTGTAAAGTTGGCAGACAACCACCAAAAAAGAAGCAAATCTTTTGACTGTAGCTTTGATTGATTAAGCAAACAATTGTTTTAGCTTCCCTTTGCGCTAACATAGCTCAGACGACAAACACTCAGGATGAAATTTGTACACAATTTGAAAGTAGTGGTGGCAGTGTACTCGCACCAGTTCAATGCCAAGCAGAAAACCCCAGTCAAATAGAAAATACACATTATAAAAAGGGCTTCCTGTTTGTGTGTATAATTATACATAGTTCAAATAGCACAACTGCTTGAAACAGATGCAAAACTATGTTACTAAGTAGGGTTGCCAACTCCCTGAAAAATAAATAAGGGACACCTCGTGGCCAGGGCCGGGCAACCCAGTTGTCTTCACCCTTCCCAGTGTGGTGAATTTTCTAGCTCTTTTTTTGTGTGTGAAATTGTTTTTTTTATCCATTTGACTTGAAGTTGATTTAAGCAGATGCATATTCTATTCTTTGTGATATGAACACATGTGAAACAAGTGATCATTTAGCCATTTATTTTTAGCTCAAAATAACAACATTAACACAATAAAACAGGTCTCTTTCTTAAACAGAAGCCTGTCATGCTTAACTTTTGAGAATATAAGTAAATCTTTCTTTAAAAGAACTTTGTCCTGCTTAACTTAAAATAATAGAAAATAATAGAAAGAAAAACATTCTTGTAACAGTGCACATTTAGTGCATTTAGTACAATTGGCTTCAGTTGAGGTATTCCAGCTTTTCTAATGCTAATCAGCTGCTCCTGTTTGTAAACCCGCTTGTTCCCATGATTACGCATCTTAACTCATCATCATTATTCACCTATGTATTACTTTTATGTATTAGTCATCAATTTGTTGTAATCATCTATCCTTGCAGTTGTTTATTACACAAAATAAGTTATATTATCACACTTCTGGCCACATAGCGCTGATATTCACTGCACATGCCCATATTAACTTTTTCCAACCAGGTGTTTTCCTTTTCCCATTCTTCCCTTTCTCTGAGGGGAACAAACATTGCTGCTCTAATGCTGGGCTTACACTGTGCGATTTTTGGCCCATTTTGAGACGATTTTTGAGTCGTGCGGCCGATTTGGTGATGGGACCGATTTTGGCCTTCATCGTGCGTCGTGTAGTATACGTGGGGTAACGAGAAGCGATTAACACCTCACGACCAGCTCCCGATCATCAATCGCTCGTGAGGGTCTCACCACAGCCGCTCACACTGCTCACGCGCAAACACGTAAACGTCGGTGAAAAAGACGGAGCAGCACAGCAGCTGTGCAGCGTGTGATCTGGACACAAGCGATGGAGGCACAACTTGTAGAACTTTGGAAAGCTCATCCGAGCCTTTTCGATGTGGCATCACAAAATGATCACGACCACAACAACCGTGAAAATAGTTGGATTTACACTGCTGCTCAATCACAGCTGCCTGATCATGTTTTTCATTAGCAATTTAGCAAAGTTGATGGTGGTGGTGTGTCTGTGTGAGTGAAAGACAGAGAGAGCGAGCGACAGATTTTCTGTTATAACCTTAATTTTATGGACGCACAGTGTGAGCTCTCAGGTCGCATCAGAGCATCGGGCGGTATAGTGTGAGACCTGCATCGTGACCTACCAACTTCTAACCCCTGCGAGTCAATCGTGCAGTTTGAGCAGGAGCTGAATATCGCGACTGAAAAAAATCGCACAGTGTCTGCCCAGCTTTAGGTGTACTGTCATCCGAGACTTGCACCGCAGTGTCGGCGTTTGTTTCCCTGTTGGCCATGCTTCTTGTTGTGGTCACCTGTTGTCTTCCGGTATTTTCTCCGCAAGCGACCTTTCCTCGACCAATGAGATGAGCGGTAATCTGAATTGTCATACTCGAATTGTCATAAGTGTGCTGTCAGCTCATTGGTCACAAAGCAGGAGAGGGGCTGGGAATTATGTTTTCAAACAAAGCGTTAATTCCATTAACATTTATAGACTACTTTTGATTCTCACTGTATTACGGGACAAAGTGCGTCCCTTATTAGCTCAATACGGGACGTGTACTTTTGTTTCGAAATACGGGACGATTCCGTATTTTAAGGGACGGTTGGCAACCCTATTACTAAGTTCTCTCTTTAAGGCCATTAATAGAGAACAGGACATTTTGGATCACTCTGGGTGATTAGATCTTTAGTCATGTAAAAGTTGAGTAGAGCTGGAATTATTTTAAGTGAAAAAACTCTACAGACCAAGGAGAATGATAAGGTTACACTTCCCAGTCCCAACAGCTTCAACAAGCCCAACAAAACATTCAAAAGAGTAGACTCTCAGAGACACTGCTTCTTGTACCTGTGCATGACACGTGTGCTTCTTCGTTAGCACCAATGTTAACAGGTTAGTCTCATGTGAGTTGTTTGTTTTGTAGAGATTGGATGTGACACATTTGTCAGCAAAAGTAGACCACAAACCACTTTTCATAGTCATATCTATATCATGGCAATAGCATTACATAATTTATGCTTTTCATTACATTTTTAATATCTAGAATATATCAGAAGATAGCTGTAGCCCTGAACCGTTTTATACATTACCTTGGGTATCTGCATTCTCACGTAAAAATTCCAACATAGTATAGTTAGTTATATAGTTATAGAGAAAGTTGGATGGGTTTATAAAGGGTTTTCAACTTTTCCAGCTTATCTGTCTATTGCCAATGTGCAAAAAGTACAGCAGTTGCACTGATCCCAGAACCTGGTTATTTCCATTCCATGCCACATGTGAGCTGGTGTCACACAGTGGAAATTTGTGTATATCTTGTATATGGGTTTTATTCTGATTTTTAGTGTTTATTTATGAGTGTCGTTTTATTTGCATGGTTTTATTCTGTTTCTGTTGCTTTTAGTGTTTTATGTGACATGGTTTTTATCCACTGTGGACTGGCTGCACATGGGCATATGTGAGTAACGCTTTCCCCACTGTCATATGCTGGGTGCAGCTGTGCTGGGAAAGGGTTGCCATGGCTATAGGCCAGGGTCTCTTCCGGGACGAGTTTTCTGGCCCCTATTTGTGTATTTGCAGGGTGCTGATGCGAGGGGATCCATGGTGGCATCGCGTGGAGGATTCCGGTGCGAAATGGAAGCTGGGCTGGGATGTGGTGGGCCCAGTGAGTGGACAAGGGGGGGATAGGAGGCTCCTCCTTGTCGGCCTAAGACAGGGCTGGCATGGACCCAACTCATGCAAGGGAATCTCTGGCCTGCTGGTGGACCCATAATGCATCAAGGGTTGTGGGACATTACATCAGGGGATTTTAGTAAATGTAGAGAATTGTATTTTTACTAGCTTTAGCATTGGGTTTTAGCTGGGGGGGCTTTATCTGTCAATAATATTTCTATCGTGTGTGTTTTTAAGGTGGTTTTTATTGGTGTTTTCTGGACTAGTAATAAACTGTTTCTGATCAGACCTGCTTCATCTCTGTGCCCGTGGTATCTGACTCGCTTGCTCCCCCTTGTATTTTAAAGAATCTTTCTTTTTAGCACGACATTCTGGCGCGACCGCTTTAGTGTCCCCGTTTGTTACACTGGCACAACTGTGACTATAATTGTCAAAGGTAAACTCAATGTAGAAAGACAAGGCTGGCAGTAGCAGAGCTGCAGAAGCGACACTGATGATATAGATAACACCTGCTTGCAATCAGCAGCATTTCAGTTCAGGTTGTCATCGTGTACCAATTAGCTGAGCAGCTCTTTGGGCTTGAGAGAAATATTGCAGTATGAGGTTGTAGTATGACCTTTAAAATGGATTTTAATTCTAATTTGGCAGTGGCTATCTAACAACATCATTACAGTTTGACAACATAAGTACAATATCAAGTATTAAACTGTGTTGTATAAGAGTTTTATACAAATCATATTCTATAAAGGCCGTATTATTTTAGGAGTAATCTTGCAGTGCAAGTAGACTGATTACATACAAAAAAGCGCCATTAAGACAAAGTGAAATACAATTTTCACTGGAGATTTTTGGAGTATCTGGTTGTCCAAGATGCACACCATATCACTGTAACAACCGGGTTGGATTTTGGCCGAATATGACGTTGGTTGCATGTGATATCCTCTTGTGACCCCTGGTTTCCTATCTGCATCTGTACTGTGAAATTCAATACTGGCAAATTCAAAGAAAAGTATTCTTTAAAAAAAATGATTTTACTGCTCCTTTCTGTTTACATGATATTCCCATTAAAACTAAATGTTGCTCATACAAGTAATTAACCCTGCTCTTCCTCCTTACCTCTGTGAGGACAGGTTGTTGGTCTCCTCCCAAGAAGTGTGCCCCCTTGAGGACATCTGGGAGGAAACGACCACTTAGTGGCACCCAGCACAGCTTCCATGAGACAAAGAGGGAGACGCTGAAGAGAGCCAGACCACAGGTGGTCACCAGCAGAGACAACAGGCTCACCGATACATCTAGAGATGGAAGAGAAAAAGGAGGCGGAGATGCTCAGCGAATGGTGAACGCAGCTTTGCCTGTGAAAAAATGGCACAGATAAACCAAGCTCCCTACGGAGGACAGACTGTGTTTATTAAGAATGCAAAGTTAAAAAAGAAAATATAACATTTTCTCATAGTAGGCTAAAGTTTAAGAAAAAAATATGTTTAATGAACTATCCAAAAATCCCAGCAATTAGACAGAGATACATTACCATGTTGATAAGGTGCTAAAAGGCCACATCAAAATATTCTAAACAATCTTGAAAGGGAAAAAATGATCAGGGAGAGATGACCCATTTAAATTATTACCTAATTCTAATAAATTATTATTATTAATTATAATTCTTTTTCAACAGTCATATAATCTTTCCTCTTGTTAGGATGTTTTAAAAACTGAATAGATAGAAGAAAATGTGGAAAGATGTCACTCATTCTTTTTTTAAAAATCCAAATGCACAAATCTAACAACTGACACTTTCAGTGCAACACACATAATTATAGGTGTGCAATGGATGGATATTTTGCAGGTGAACAAACCAATGTATAAATAATTGCAAATAACCTACAGTCAGGAAAACATGTGCAGGAATGTGTTGTGGCCAGACACTGCCTGGTCTGTTAAATGCACAGAAACATAAGAGGGCTTTTAATTTGAAATGGACACCGAACTGTTGAATTAGTGTTAACAGCATAATGCTGAAAAACGAGAGTTTGTCTAGTGGAGGATACATACACTGCATACACTAATCACATACTAATAATAACAAAAGCTTGCTTCAAATAAAGCCCAGCTGCCTTTGAAGCTGTAGTAAATAAAAGATGCTTTAAGAAAATACAGCTTACATAAAGTAGCGGGAGTGCCACTGAGAGCCAACGGAGGCTGCAGAAAATGTATACAGGCAAACAACTGTATACATAAGTATAAGCATAAGTGTATTATCATATCTTATATCACATTACATGACTTGTACACATCTATGCTAACTGGTCACTTCATTAGGCACACCTAGTTAGTACCAAGTTCCCTGGTGAAACTGGCTAGTTGAGCTTTGTGACATGGTACACTGTAGTCATGAAGGAATTTACATGGTTAGCTGAATAAACAGGCAGGCTGTGGCACTGAAGTCATGCTCAGTTCGTACTAAGGGGCTCAAATTGTGCTGGGAAAATATCTGACAAACTGACCGGACTTCTGCATGAGTGAGGGGCTCTGAATATGACCCAGAAACCAAAGCACAGAAGGTTGTGCAGGGTCCAAACAGCCATAACCAGGAGCATGGTTATTCACATTTACATGTTTACGCATCTTAAAATTCAGACCGAATGTCAATGAGGAGGTTTAATGTGAAACACCTGGATTTTGGTGGGTTCCATTGTGCAAACAGAAATTGTCAAATTAGGTATTGTTTTATATTTTTATCGTTAAATTAACAATTAAATTAACAATTGTTAAATTAACAATTAGGGCATTAAATAAACAATGACGCAAATGCTTCAGTTCTTAAAGCAAACTTGAAAGGGTCTCTGGTTGTGACAAACCCACAGAGAATGATTATCCAAACTGTGGTTCCGCACTGCAATGCATTTTAATGTCTCTCACTCATTGTTTTAGGGTTATTGGCCACAAGTTTATTTCTTTGTCTCACAGTCCTCATCAGTGCTGTTTTCAGCCATTAAAAATTGTAATATCCCTGTGTATCCCTCTGTTTACAGGGCATCTGTTCTGTATTTCCATCTGTATGGACCACATAAAATATGCAATATTTATTTCCAGACTGCAGTAGTGATTGATGGACGTTTGAGACAACTGGATAAAATGTTGTCGTCCATTAGCTAAGGAGAGAGTTTGCCTCTTATCTGCTAGGTAATAGCACCCTGTAGCTTCAGAGAGATAATGTTTGTTGATACCTCTTTCTTGTGAAGCAGCCTTTTCAAACTCATCTAAAAGCTTGGCTAAGAATGTCTGCTGAGATAAGATGCTTTAAAGAGGAAAACTTAGAGGCACGACTGAGCGCTGTGGATCTTCCTTTTTTTCTTTTTCTTTTTTTCTTCCTGCAAGTCATTTTGAATCAAACTCGCACAAAAACAAAGGTCTGAAATTTTGAGGCTCCTTGCTCAGTACAATGCCCTGCAGCCTTGATTATGCTTGAACAATAGCAGTGATAAACTCAGCATTCACAATGTCTGCAGTAGTTGTGTACCAGTGGCATGCCATCACATGAGCAAGAATCTGTTCTACATTTTTAACAGTTGCCGAAAGCCATGTTTATATTACATTTCATCTGTGGTCGTGAACCCATTCTTCTTTAACAGTGTTTATTATTTGTCGTTCCTGCTAAGCAGAGCTAAGAGCTTCTCTTAACAGTACAGCAGAGAATGCTTAAACCAGGGTTAGATCAGCTCATTTATGGATGCCATTAGAGTTTAGTACTTGATGTTTTTCTTTGCATTGTACTGTGCAACTTATTTCAACTTCTACTTTTACTTTATACAGAATCACTGAGGAAAGCAGCCTTGCAGAATGATTTATGTAGAAATATTTGAAATCAATTTAGCAGAAACGGGTTCTAAGCACACAGATGAAAACAGCATCCTGAAGTTTTGAAAAACATTTAGATGAGTTTTTTCACACTGTGAAAGTGATTTGCACACAACACCCCATATTTTCTAAGTAATACATATAATTAGTCTTTTATTATAAATATTTATAAATAAAGCTTTTATTTCACGCTTATTGGCTACTGGATGCAAATATCTAACCATCCTCATCACCAGCAACTCTGTGCATTTAGACATGTAGACGTGTTCAAACCAAGCATTGGGTGATTTAAGTGATTTTGAACGCCGACATTGTTGTTGGTGCTGGTCTGAGTATTTGAGAAGCAACTGATCTACTAGATTTTCCCGCACAACCACCTCTAGAGTTTACAGAGAATGATCTGGAAAAGAGAAACTATCCAGTGAGCAGCAGTTCTCAAGAAAAAAATGGAACAGTAACTCAACAAAACACTCATTACAAATAAGGTATGCAGAATTCTCTGAATTCACATCATGTTAAACCATGAAGAAGATGGGCTACAACAGCAGATGATCACACCCGGTGACATTCCTGTGAAGCACAGCAAACAGACTCAACAAAAATTAAACAATAGAAGATCTGATAAGTCTCACTTTCTGCTTACACATTTGGATTGTAAGGTCAACATTTGGCATAAACATGGTGATGGTGGTGTAGGAAATGTTTTCTTGGCAATGCTTTAGGCCCCTTAGTACCAACTGAGTATTGCTTAAACACCTACCTGAGTATTGTTGCTGAACATGTCTATCCCTGCTTTGCATGATTGCTTCCAGCATGACAGGATGCCATGTTACAAAGCTTAAATCATCCCAAACGAGTTTCTTGAACATGGCAATGGTAAATGGACGGATACTTAGGCAGCAGCTTTCTACTTAACTTGAGCGCTAAAAGAGCTTTTACTAGAAGTCTCAGTCACCCAATCACACACGCATTCATACAGTGCTTTTATCTAAACCACAGCCACCTCAGTCAGTTCAAATGGCCTCCACAGTCACCAGGTCTCAGTTCTAAAGATAAAGGGGAGTCCGACCCAGTACTAACAAGATGTAAACTGGCCTGTTATTGTAAATGAGTATTTTGATACCTAATCAAAAAACAGTTATGTACTGTAATCACTTAGGAATAAAAGCAGTATCATGACAAATGGAAAATCACTTTCATAAAGTCCTTATGTACCTGTGTTATTCAAAGTGCCCAGTGGGGTGCTGGTTTAGCTTAGTGGGTGAGCAAGTGACCACCTGCCCAGAATTCCCCATGTCTGACCTGTGACCTTTTGCTGTGTCTTCCCCTCTGTCTGTCTTCACTGTCACTATCCAGTAAAGGCAAAAATGCCCCCCAAAAATATAGATTAAAAAAAGAATGTGCACACTGGTTAATTATGCTACACAACTAATGATTTACCTTGGAGATGCTACCTTCATCGAGTCAGGTTATAGGACATTAAGTGGCACGAGATACAGAGATTTCAGTTCTGAATGGTTTCCTTAGCAACAACTATAATTGGCTTCTTCAACAAAGCCAGTGAATGTGAACATGGTCACCATGTGCTCAGGATCAACTTTGTGCCAGTTTCAATCAGGTTGTTGCTGTTGTTTACCTTCACTACAGCTATAACACATCACTGTAGCATCACGTAGGGATAGGTTGCATCCAACATGTCGATTGCAGACATTAGTACACTCATTACCCGCTGCGTTAATATTGCTGACCTTTATACCTAGTGCCACATTAGATCAATACGATATCACTGTGCAAGATGCATGATGCAAATACACTTTCACTCATGGAGGTTTTCAGCTTGCAGAACGCAAACACTGAAGGAACAAGCTGCTGTGACAGTGAAGACCATTTTAAAGAGAATTTATCTTTTTTTTTAACTTTCCAGACTCCCTGCAGTTTTAATCAAGGCTGAAATTTGAATGCAAATAAGTAGGAAATAAGAAGAATCCTGTTGATGAGTTTAATATAAGCACATATTTAATTTCTTTACTGCTTTCATCTAAGCAATCTTAAGATTTACCACTTATTTTTGCCCCTATGTTTTGTTTTATTATCCATGTGTCATATTACTTTATCCCCCTGAATCTGAGCAAACAGAACAGCTTTATACACTCAAGAATTCTGCTACTTCCATCATGATCCCAGTGACCCAGTTCCTCCGACAGCCATGAATTAACACTGTCTTCATCGTGTTTGATAGATGACGTGATGATGTGCTGTAGATCACAAACCTTTCCTTCTCCCTACTGTCTTTTATCATTTGATTCTGGTAGTTTCAGTAACGATAAGCAGTTCTTTCTCCAGAACTGGACATGCATTTAAAGTTTTCTTAAAGCCTAATTTGACCTTTTTCTTACCAAAACCTAGTCACAGTTTACATTTTGTGGGTAAATCCTCT